GAGATATTCAAGAAACGTCTCCGGCGGGTCAACATCATCCCTGCCGATACGCACATCGTAAACGTTGAAGTCGGTTCTGCCTGCAATCTCGAGGTTGGTGTACATTTGGGTGTTGCACGCATCATCAGCCTCCGCGCATTCATCATCTTGACCCGCGAGCTGGGTGCAGTTGTTGATGACGGGTAAACAATACTTATTGTAAGCGTCGATGAAACGAGTGAAGAGTTTGTTGTTAAGAATCTGTTTGTAGGGGTTGCGGTTGGCATATGTTGCGTAGGATTTGAACTGCCGCTTCGGATCGATCCAGCCGTTGTTGATGCCCAGCGCTACCATATCGACCTTGTGGCCTTCAGCATCGCCCTTCTTGATTTGGTCATTCTTCTTGAGGAAGTAGTCGGCGAATTCGGGGCCATAGTGTCCACCGTAGGATTGTGTAAAGAGACCAAATTCTCTGGATTTGTATTTGGGAAACCGGTCCAAGAAGACTTGCATAAATTTCCAGATGTAAGGGGCAGCTTGTGCTGTAGAGTTGACATCTTCGGTTCCAACACTGAAGCCAGTACCGATTGGCTGATCGATGTAGAGCATGTTCGCGTACTCGTTCCAGGAATGAGGGTTGAGGGATGGCTCAGTGTCGTTATTGACAAAGTGACAAGGCCCATGTTCCGTGAAGAGGCCTATCATTGAGGAACATCCAGGACCGCCGTTGAGCCAGATAGCGAGGGGGGCCTTCTCAGCATTGTGACGAGCTTCGAAGAACCAGAACCACATGCTATGGTTTTTCCCTATATTAATTTTATGAGAAAGGGCCTTAGGGCATCAAGTAGGATCAACTTACCAACAGACAAGTATCCAGAGTATTGGCCAACACCAGGTGTCGTCTCGCAGATTCCTGAATTGGTCACATACTCAAGCTTCGAATCGGTAGCGGCATGTTTGAAGACAGTAAGGCCATGGCGCTCCAAGGTTCTAAACTGTCTACTATTAGGAGCAATACCGCCGAAAGCACTGACCGATCCGATGAGCCCTAGAAGAACCGTCGAGATAGACGAGAAGCGCATTTTAACGATATTGGAGGATGACGCTTCCGTAGCCCAAGCAGGAATGAACAGAGGCAGGAGTTTATCTATTTATAAAGTCAAGCATCCTGCCCTGCTCTGCCCGTCCAGTGTGGGACGAGATCCTGGTTACTCGCCATTGTCAGGATCTACATTCTAGGTTCTACAATAAAACGGGCATTGTTGATGGTGCAAGTGTTTGGTTTTATTAGGCTAGACTGTTTCTCCGATTGATTGCAATGTTCCAATTCAGTTGTGACGTGCACCTAAAAAGGATGCGCGCTTGGACGGATGTGTCCAAGCATGGAAGCTCCGTTGCTTCAGATTTCGGTGCATCGCTTTTTGTTACTTGGTCTGTGGACATACGGCGGGTTTAAATTGTCCGTAGCATAAAGGATCTGGAGGGACGCGAATGTAACTCAAACATTGGTTGTGATCGTACGTTGAGGAAACATTGCCCTTGTCCCGTCCGTCTATCAATAATAATTCCTTGCTAGGTCTGATCGACAGGGGATCTACTGAAAGGGATATTCTAGCCGCAGAGTCCTACCTAGAGAATGCCTTCACTTCAAGACCAAGCATTTCTCCCTTTAACTAAAACGAATCAGAGGCATATGTATATGTTAGGACAGGTCCTGGTCAATATTGACTCAGCGTGAGAGGTGATCCAAGCGGGTAGAACGATACAGCAAGCAGCCTGAGAGGCTAATAAGCGGGAGTCTGCAGGTTCAACGGATAAAGTCATGGATTGTTTCACAGCATGAAACAGAATTTCTTAATTGCAATTTAACGCATATCTTGAACATGTTGTTCGACTTAGACACTACATATTGCTCTTCATGTGAAAAGTGAATACGATGTATACATATATGGATACGATGCACAATTTATGGTACGCAGCAGGGAACACTGAGAGATTCAATGAAATATAGTATAGTCTAACCGCGTCTTATCTATTCAAAAATCTTGCCAACAAAGGATCAAGGCGGCGATATTGATGTTTGGTGGCCCCAGTGTCGAGTCTCTATAGACACCATATCCCAAAGCAGTTGACAATAGGTCAGCTCCTCAGCTGGACGCCATTTCCCCTCTCCACACTAATGAACTACATCTCATATGCTCATCCCATTTGCGATATACTAGGATTTCCCATCAAGTCAAAATGTTTTCCGGTGATCTCGCCTATGTACGCCCAGCTACAACGCACAAGCGGCGAAATGTCATGTCAATCGCTCTTCGTGACATGAAACCTGTGAGAACACACGAGAGCCCGATTGAGTGCTACACTCCAGACGAGGACACGAGCCACAAAGAAATCGCCGACCGGATGCTGCATCAGAGAAACGGCCTGACAAAAGGTCAAGAAGCAACCATGTACACACTGAAAACTCAGTTGCACGACAACGCCTTGTCAACAGCCTAAAAACCACTTGAGACGCAGGCTTTTTCTTGTGGCCGTACAAACACCTAGCTTCGATTCGTTCATCCTCAGAATTGAAGAACGATCTTTGTTTCGTATTCTGGTGCTGTTTCCAGACAGCCTTCTACTTAGCTTCAGCACGTTATACTCCGGGCCCGTTTATTTTTACTGCAAGGAGACAACGCTAGTAGAAGATTTTCAGAGGGTTTCATCAACAAGACAGAGTCACAGCGACACTCTCATCCATTAAACCTTGAATGGTATAATAGTTCTTAATGTTGGAGGTCGGCAGGAGGTCGTTTTGTGTATATCGGGGTTCAGGAGCGTGTACCCGGAACGAGGTTTCAGAGCTTCTCGTTTAGGAGAAATGAAGAGCACTTTCATCATGATTTGGATTGATGGCTACGTACGCTCCAGTCTGCGTGATTAGACAGCTCTTTCGCACGGGTTCAATATGTGAATGGATGCACCAAATTCTGCTTCGCTACCATAGTCTCAATCTGTGTTTGAGAAGACTCGGTTCTCTTAACATCAGTTATCGAATGGATGTAAAATGGAAAGGTATGCCCTAAAGCAGTAAAAAGAATTGCCGGTGATGGGATCCATGGATGATATTAATTAAGTTCCTCACAATGGGAAGACAACTTATCCTCGAGCAGCAAGAAAACTATGACCTCTAGCTGAAGTGCCAAAAAATAGTAAAGTCTCCAGTCGTTTAGGATGGAGGCTAGCTCATATATATCAACTCTCCTGCGTTCCCATTTCCCTCAGACCATGCCAGAGTCTTGCGGCGAGGACGGATCGTACATCCGAATTCGGGTGTCGAGAAATAAGCATAAGATAAGCTTCTCGACGATCAGAGAGCCAAGTACATTTAGCCGACGTGTCGAGACTGGTCTCTTGCATGGATCGTTTTGATGTGCCCAATTGGAAAGAGACGATGTCCATAAATCTGCGACTGATGCCTCAAGACCCCAAGATTCTCCAATGTCAAAGATGGACAAGGTCGGATATTATTTATGCGGCCGAGTCATTTTCCCTAGACTGCGGGATATCTCCCCCGACTTTATCAGCCACCCCGCGGTTTCGGGCCTGCGGGGGAGCGTTGAAAGCCGGGCCGGCCAACCAGCAGCGACTGGGAGTCCGCTATTGGCATGACGTGTTGGGGTCCGCAGTGAAAGTGACTGGGGTTAGAAGGTTAACCTCTGGCAAGACAAGGATAAGGAAACCGATGTTTAATGAGAAAGGCTTGTGTAATTCATGATGGCACCAGTTGTGAAGAGACTTCTTTGGGCTTGATCAGGAACATCATATGATCGTTTTGTCTTTTGGATATACATAGGTAAGTGTTGATCACATATTGGGGCTGAAAACGCAGTCTGCCAATCATCTCTTGGCACTGACGCTCTTGTGGATTTTGAGCATTGAAAGAATGGGCTGTTTGAACCCGCAACGTCTTGGCGCTCGTCCTGATAAGAAGTGAAGAGGGTGCACTGGGCAGTAAATAAAATAGAGGACAGAATAACTACTAAACCTAGGGCACGTAAGACAGAGTAAATTGAGGAGAGACCTGAAAGGGAGTCAGAGTCAGAGTCAGAGTCAGAGTCAGGGCCATGGAAGGGAGAACAGCACCCTCGGGGAGAAGCCCATTGCATTACAAGTGGAAGTGCAAGTGCAGCAAGTGGAAGTGAACAAACCACAGACTCACCCCAAACGGAAGGTGCACCCCGGACGGGAAGTCCCCTACTCCTTGCGCTTTCCGCTCAAATTGCCAGGGATATTGCCTTTTCCCTGCGTGGATTGCCTGGATTCTTTGGAGAAAGACGGGGCCATGCCGATGCCGATTGTTTGAGCGTTTTAGCTGACGCTGAAGCTGCTGTTTCCTCAATCCCAACCCCCAGGCACAAACACGCACCCAAAGTCTCCACGACTTTTCTTCAACCTCCAGATTTTCTAAATCTTGGCTGTGTTACAAGTTGATTCTGCCGGAGTCAAATCAAACACCGATCTCTTCGCTTCGAACTCTTTTCGTCCCGCGGAATGTGTGCGATCTTTTGCTCATACTAGCGAATACACCTTGCGAAGCTGCTGATCACTGTCGTTGCTTTCATCTTCATCTCCACCTTGCATCACATTGAGGTGTTGGCGGTTTGACAATATTCATCTCTGACGACTCGATTCACCAACTACTGCGATCATCTTCTCGGCATCTTATTCGATCTGTTATCTGGTCCTTGGCCTCTACTTTATCTCATTTCTCAACAATACTCCAACAAAAATACTATTCCGGTTGTCTATCGTCGACCCCCCAACGCCGTTCCTCCGTAGCTGCCGCTCCGGTTCAACTTTCGGATCACCCGGACATATGAGCGACAACTGCCACTTCCTCGATTTCTCAGGTGCCACAACTTACTCTCATTTCTGCGATCGGCCAAGCATATCAAGAGAATTTTAAGCTTAATTCTCGTGCAATTGACTTGCTTACTCCCATATTGGCCTTGTGAGATCCCGATCTCGGCATCATGCCCATCTCACCACTATGGGCTCTTATGCCCCGCGGCGACCATTCCTCATCGCCAGAGAGCGATCAGTCTTCGTCTTCGGGCACCACGGGAAATGTATATCCCTCAGATTCATTTGCAGATGATCTGTTCCGTGATAAGTTCATGAGCATCGCCAAGGGAGGCTCCAATGGGGAGAAAATCATGCGTGGCTTTCTGATCGGTCTCGCCATTGGCCTGGTTGTCGCATGCTTCGTTTGCTGTTGGTACCCATGCTGTCGACCCCGACTCCAAAACCAGCGGCGAAGACAACGAAGGCGCCGGGGCCCCCCCGCAGCAGACGAAGAGGAAAATGCAGCAAGCCGTGTGCCTCCTCCTGCATAGCGCTGACTACAGCCAGATCATGGATATGGGGAGGGTTTGGCGTCGGCAAGTTGACGCTTTAACTGAAAGTAAGGCGGTGGCCGTTTCACTTGCGACAGCTTTCGAAAAACGACATTGATTGAAGACAACTTGCAAGATCGATATGACACGATACGAATACACGAATAAGCGAAAGAAGACTATGCACAGAGCTGCGAACCATCAGCTTCGATCACATCGCCCAGCACGCGCGGGTTCATTCACAATGCAACCAATAGGCCAGATGAAAGTGTTGTCTGGCCGCGGGCCCGAAGTAAGGGCCTTGCACATAGGTACTGCAATTACCCCTGTCAGGCCTGGTTCAGATTTCGTGCTGTTGGCCTGGCATGAGGTAGCCTGGCGGAGCGCGACGATAGCTACGCATAACCAGGGGACCTTTGCAATCGAGCGGAGAGGAGGAGTCCGAACATGCTTACATCATTAAAGGTGGACTATGACATGAATTTCAGAAGAAGGCGCATCAAAAAGGACATGGCATTGAATTTGCATTGGATACAAGGCGTTCAAGGACGATGTATACATTTGGGACTGTTTAAAGGCTACACCACCGCCGGCGTGGACTAGCATCTGGAATTCTAGGCATCTCAAGGCGCTTTCGCAGCCTGTTAGACAAAGAGAGGAGAATAGGGAGTATCGGTTCTCTACAATGACAAATCATACCCTGTATATTTGATAATGTGATACCGCATACGCAATGGAATGGAATATCAGGTCCAAAGCTGACGCAAAGGACGAGGCTCAAACGATCTGCTTCTCATTGGACGCGCGTTTAAAGATGGATGAACATGCTTAATACTCTCAGTTTCACCCATTGTTAGAGTCGCCATTGGAAGCCGGATCTCTGAGGCCAGTCCCCGGACAGTCGCAATCCGACACACATGAATGCGACAGGGAGCAGGACTAGAATAGTAACACTTGAGCGACACTAATAAGGTAGAGAATCTGCACAGCCTCTTTGAGTATCGGTTGTGGCGTTGGGCGGATTTGGTACGTCACTAATGCGAGACCGAGCACTCGTAGTTTCGATTAGCAAGTAACATAAGTAAGTAAATAGATAAACAAGTCAAGTACGGGAATGTTCTTTGTCTCTGTGCTAATCGAGAATAACTCATTCCCTTAGATATAAGCTTATTATTTGTTATCTGATTGTCTTTCTGCCTTACCCATTCATCAGCCAAGTCTTTAAAGAACTTGTGACCCTTCCCGATCAGTCACAAGCTGTAGCTGCTTCAAGGCAGCCCCGCCTCCAAGTCTCAGCCTGCCGCGCAATTGTCTTGTCTATCGGATTTTTCCTTGCAACTTCGTATAACTATCTCTCTTCCTCAAACTCTCACTTAAGCCATTCCTGAACCACAGGCGACTCACTTCTTACGACTTACACCCTCTTATACTTGTGTTACACCCGACGGGTTACGACGTCATCCCACGAATTAGCTCTGCGACACCAAGTCAACAATCGCATTGAGCTCTAGACAGCCAATACAGTTGGCAAGATGCTTGACGAAAACCTCCCGACATATCGCTTCAAGACCTCTTCAGAGAATCCACTCAATAATATTCTCTATTTCACACACAACGGATCAGATCCCGCGCCCGAGTACCTCATCAAGCGATCGTCGCCTTCCGAAGCCAATGGCCAATATGCGCTCGGCATATTCGACTCTCAGAACACTTCTGTGATATACGCAGAGGTCGATGTCAAACCTGACTGGGTAGCGCCCACTTTGTCTGCAGCTGAAATCCGCGCGCAAAACGGAAACCGACCGCCCAAGACACCTATCATCCCAGATACCTTTGCGGTTTCATTGTACAACCCCGATCAAGCTATACCCGTCAAGCAACAACCAGGAAGTTGGGGAAAGACGGGTGCTTGGGAGTTTGAGCTTCCCGAGAGATCCTTTAAGCTACCCAGTGCTAGCCAGATTGACCAGGAGGATCGTCCGTCTCTGGCCGAGTTGGTTCCCAAAGTTGTGTTTCGCTGGAAACGTGATGGCCGTCTGAGCAAGGACATGACATGTTATATGACAGGACGAAATGTGGGTGGAAAAAAGAGCAAGGAACCTGATATTACGGTAGCATTTTTCCGCGCCAAGCATGACTCGACTTTAACCATTTATGAACCCAACATGGCCCGCGTTGAGATCGAGGACAGAAGGGGTCTTGAGATTGCTCTTCTCATGAGCGCTGAGACAATCAAGGATCTGTATCTGAACCCTAGCCAGGACCCTTTCCACCTACAAACCTCATCTAATGGCCGGCGTCGCCAGAACTCTCGCCCAGCAGCAAGTTCTTCGGCAGGCCCAACAATGGCGGGTGCTCTCAATAACAACCGTCCATCGTCACCTCCTCGAGCACAAGCATCCCCACAACAGTCAAGCAACCAAGCCCAGCGAGAAGCTGAGGTCGAGGCGGAAACACGACGCTTACAAGCAATGGTCGCAGAGGAAGAACGCAAAAGACGTGAACGTGAAGCGCAAGAGGAAGAAGAACGCAAGAGAATCCAGAAGATGCTTGAGACTGAGGAACAAGAGCGCCGGAAGAGAGATGCCGCGGTCGAACAAGAAACAGAAAGACTCCGTCGAGAATACGGCATGGCTGGGCAAGACTTCCAGAGTCCCACGAGTCCGGGTCACCCATCACCATCACCGCCCTTACCTCCAAGACCACAGTTTGCGTCAGGCGCATTGAACCCCCCAAACAACCTGCCTCAAAGACCCAACAGTGTTGGGCCAACACCGTATGGCACTCCTCAGCCAAGCTTTGCTCCTCCTCCTTCGCAACCTCAGCCAGGCCCCAGCGAGAACGGAAAGAAACGTCATGGTCTGGGTGGCCTGCTGCAGGGTCCCTACGCTGGACCAGCAGCAGCAAGTGTCAGTGGCTTCTTCAGCAGTCGAAAGGACGAAGAGAAGCGAAAGAAGGTTCAGAAGAAGCGAAGCGTGCACTTTTGAACCTGAGGTCAGAAGAAACTACGTAGTGTCTTTATGTGTCATGGGAGGAGTTTTAAGGGAAATGTGCGCGCAATGCATGGGGGATATACCACAGACCTGGGAATAGTATTAGTAATGAGAAATGATTTCTTGTCAACCCCATTCTGTCGCTGCGCTTAGATATTCATTAGACTGTCCAGCAATGTGCACATATTGTTGAGCACCGATTGGTTCTTTCACTCATATCAACCTACAGGAAGTTTCATCTCGTTAATTTGAGCCAGGCAGCAGTGATATTGAGTCCCCGTGACAGAAGGACTCTTGGAACGTGCGGCACTTGTGCAAGAGATTGAGCAATGAGGAGGTATACTTGTGAAACCAGAAATCAGTGAGTCACTTCGTTATCGACACCATCGTATCTAACCCAGTAGCCTTCTTATATCCCTTAGACAATGTTTTATCTAGTTCCGGCCGAAGATATAACTCCCCCAAACTATTTGGACTTCTCTAGTGAGTTTCCGCCCACTTCTTAAACCAATCTAGTGATTCAGGGTTTGCAACACTGGCATTGGTCTTGACATTCATGCCAGAAAGGATCTGTTTCACTGCGACCTCAATCCTGCATTGAATGTTAGCATCGCACATCCTACGGATAGTATTAAGCGGCAGACTTACTTCTTTCCATTGCCAGTCTTGGGGACGCCGCCTCCACACTCCTCCACGACGCCAGGTACATGTCGAGGGCTCAACTCAGACTTGACCTTGGACTTGATCCTTAGGCGCAGGTCATCGCTGAATTCATGTCCAGGTACCATCACCACAAAGAGACATACAGTCTCGTCTGAGTCTGTCTCCCGTCTACGTCCAATGCAAACTGCATCCTCGACTTCAGATGCGAAGAAGCGTGTGAGAATGTTGTAGATCTCGGCTGAGCCGAACCTCACCCCTGATGGCTTCAGCACACCGTCTGATCGTCCAAGCATGACAAGGCTGCCAGTTGCAGGGTCAGGAATCTTGACGAAATCTCCGTGGTGCCATACTGCTCCCTCAACGCCGCAGATGTTTTCGAACCTCTCAAAATAAGCCGATTGATACTTGGCCTCGCCGCTAGGACCGAAAAAGGTCAGGGGCTGGCAAAGGAAAGGCTTGATGCAGACAAGATCACCTGGCTCGTCGGCCTTGATGGGTTCGCCCGTGACGGAATCAACAGCACGGATAGCCATACCAAGACCAGCGCACTGGATCTCACCAACACGAACAGGGAGCAGTGGGCAAGGCGCTCCGAATAGTGAGATAATGTCTGTTCCACCGGTAATCGAGCCAAGGTTGATATGCTTGGGGAAGGCTTCATAGACAAACTTGAAGGTCGATGGGGGGAGGGGTGAAGCAGTGGAGTAGATAGCCTGCAGGTTTGAGAGATCAATCGACTCGTCACGGACAGGGTAAACGTTGTTGGCCTCTAGTGCAGTCAGATAGGCGGCTGAGGTACCGAAATGAGTGACCTTGAGGTCAGAGAGGAGACGTGGGAGTGAGAGATGGCCATGGGGGCGGAAAGGAGAGCCAGAGTAGACAATGATGGTAGAGCCAACAGCAAGAGCTCCAATGCTCCAGTGCCACATCATCCAGGAGGTAGTCGTATAGTAGAGCATTCGAGATGAGGAGTCGAGTGAGCAGTGAAGAAGATGCTCCTTCTTGTGCTGCAGAAGTGTACCTAAAGCTGTATGAACAATGGCCTTGGGAAGGCCAGTTGTACCACTGGAGTAGAGAACATAGAGGGGATGAGCTGGAGGAAGCTGCTCGAACTTCAGGGGGTCTTCAGAAGCAGACTCGAGCATCTTGGCGTAATCCACAGCCAACACGCCATGCTTCTCAAGCTCCTCAAGACCAAGTCCACCAGAGCTGATGTTGTTAATCACAACTACTCTCTCAAGCCCCTTGTCCTTCAACGCAGCCACAATCTCAGTCGTCTTTGCTACACTAGACCACTCCTTGCCGTTGTAGACTGTGCCGTTATCGGCAAATAGCACCTTGGGAGCAATCTGGCTCAGACGGTCCAGGACAGCAGAAACACCGTTATCAGGACTTATACCAGTCCAAATGGCACCGACTGAGGCGGCAGCAAGCATAGCAACCAGCGCTTCAACATGATTTGAGACGAAGCCCGCAACAACATCATTGGGCTTAAGACCAGCTGCACGCAGGACATTAGAACAACGACGGACTGCCTCACGCAGCTCAGCCCATGAAGTAGTCACTGTGGAGTTTGGCAACTCGGTAACAGTGATAACGGCTGGAGCAGTGGGCTCGGGAAGTGGAGAGGTTGCGGGAAAGAGGAGGTTCTCGGCGAAGTTAAGACGTGAGCCCGAGAAGAAGTCTGGTCGGGGGTACATAGGAGCATTTTTAGGAAGGACCTGCAGATGTGTTTAGTTGAGTTCTGAAGTTGTTGAGCTCATCTTGAGTTTTCAGGTGAGCCTCTCACTTGGCTTCATACCTCTTCAAAGGGCTTTGATGCTGTAACCCCAGCAAAATTCCAAACTTCCTCCCAGAACTGAGCAACTTCATCGATCGACCACTTGTATAGTGCTGGGTAACCATCGAGACTTAAACCATGCTTCTTGTTCACGTGCTCAAGAAACTTCCACATGTGAGTGGACTTTGGATCCGAATGCCTCCAGAGGACATTATCTTCAGAAGGAGGTGCCGCAGCAGAAGGTGTAAGTTTGTCAATCGACATGACGGGCATTGGAACGAAGAATGAGGGAGACTGGAAGGTCAATCAAGTCCTCGGAAAGACGATTGTTGGGAATTGGTGACGATTCCGAGGAGTTGAGACGCCAATGAGACGATGGCGTGCAAGAAGCAGCAGACACAGCCAAGGGAGAGATTGAGTGGTTTATGGAAGCCAAGATGAAGCAAGAGAGATGCTGTTTAATTATTGAGAAGACTGTATTCTTATCCCAACGCTACGGACTTGGGATTCCGTGTTTCCAGCACAGCTCGGAATCTTTCTCTAATGGCCCAACCGCTGAAAGCCGTCCCCTCCCGTTCTCGGCTCCCCGCCATCGAGTCCCGTCTCTTGCCCCGAAGTGGCTGTGGTGGGGGAGGCTGAGGTCATGAAGTGTGGCTTGTCTCAAGCTGATGAGGATCCAAGGGTTTTCCATCATGACAACTATTGATGGGCTTTGATAACTTGAATGATATTGTAATTGCTCAGGAGACTTGCGAAATTAGTATGTCATGAGCTGTGAGCTGTCACTTTCATTCGTAAATGACCACTGTCATGTCCAACTAAACGAGGTGGCATCACTTCAAATATAAGGAGAGTAGACTGAGGGATCTTCAGAAAAAGAATCAACGGTGACTCAAAAACAAATAACCAATACTCAACATAACGTGATTGTCAAAGCACAAGGCAAAGCTGAATCAGAATCACGTTGTATGGCAGTTTGGCGAGATTAGTGCATTCTTGGTTGCCTCGGTACGGTCTAAGCTTAGCTGCCGGACTGTATGTAATAGCTTGTGGGTAGGGAAAACTCGGCATGGTCGATCGTCCCGAACCGCCTTCGATCCGAGATGATCAGGCCTCGATAGTATATTCAGCTTCTGTTTCAAGAATATTGACTTCGCGTAGCATGGGTGAAGCTCAATGGGGAGTCGACAAGAAGGCAGCAGACCATGATAAGATGGGAGGTGGTTTCTTGTTATCTCGAGCCTCCTCAACTCAAGACTGCGACAAGTCAATCCGAATATCACGAAATGATCCTCACGGACCGTGTGCATTAGTTGTAGTTTTGGGGTGAAAAACAGCTGGCGGTGAAGGTCTTTGGGTATTGGAGGAACTTGTTCAGCTTTGTTAGATGGATGGTATGCAGGGCTTTGCAGCATCTTTTATCTGGCCATTGATGTCGGTGTGTAACAACAAGCGCTAACTAAAAAGCAATGCAATCCATTGAGACTCATGTCATCCGTACCTACACAGCTAAGCACAGCATCGTTGGCTGTAAGTGTGTGCACTCGGCTGCAGTAGCTTGTTCTGGCGGAGAAATCCTAGCCCAGGTGGAACTCCATACATATGATTCACGAACAGATAACAAATTGACTATCGAGGCGGTCCGAAAGTTAGAAGCCGTCCAAAGACTTGATATGCCACGAGACTCTTCCCTAAACGAGGGAGCTTGAAGAATAATGCCATCATCGTCGCCGGGTGCGGCGGAGATTTTGAGAGCTTGGGCACAGCATGCCCCTGGATGATGACATCCAACTTCCTTTGGGTTTCATCAGGACCAATGTTATGTAAGACCAGCAAGATCTGATGGTGGTGAGCCGCGGCACCCAAGGAGAGGCAAGAAAACTTAGGGCCTCTATCACAGAAGACAAAAATACTCGATCAAGTTCACGTGTAGCTTCAGTAGACCTTGAGCTCTATATTTCTGACACCTAAGTCCACCGTCAGAAGTTTTCTTGTTCCCTTGGGGCACCCTTCAGGCTATTCAGAGTCTTTCATTTGCTACAGGAGGCAAACGACAGAAATTTGGTGCGAGCCGAGCTAGAAGGAAAAAAAGTGGCGTTTTGACTTAAAGTCTCCCGTGTCTTCCCATTCGCAGGCCGGAGACCTCGGAGCCCAGGGGTTCGTCTTGAAAACAAAACCATTGGATCCTTTCTACAGGGACTTCGATTAAGAAGAGGCAGCCAGAGATATGTTCTGATCGTTTTGTGTTTGCCTCTGGGTAGGATTCGAGGTCAGGAGCTCAGTTTGAACAGTCATGGTCAGCCTTGGAAGGGAACACGGCGTCGTCATAGAGAATACACGCCTCGCTTTTGAACTCTCGAGCCTTGAACTCCCTTGTTATCAACGCCTGTCAAGGAAGCGAGGCCTGGAAACGAAAAGGCGAACGACGAGACGAGACGAGAAGAGAAGGCAATACAATGCAAGTCCCCGCCGGCTGACCCCTTGAAATCATTCCCTATTACCCTTGTGTCCGGCCCATTCCGCAGGTGCTTGTGCTGTGCTGTGCTGTGCTATGGAGACTGTTCTGTGTGCGTTTCTCGTACATCGTACATCGCATGTAGTGACACAGTCAGCAGCTCATCAGGTACATGTCGACAAATGCAAGTTTAAACTTGTTCTCGGCTCTGATTACACTCCGTCAAGTAACTGGTATCCCCCGTCGCTTAGAACCATCACCTCGAACTCAGGTACCCAGTACTAGGTGCTCCGTAGTTGGTGCTGGTACCCGCTGTTTCCCGTGGAGCGGAAAACCTGGACTTTTCATTGTTTTTCAATGCACTTCCCGTTGTCCCGCTGACTCCGCAGTTCAGTTTTCTTCCTGCTTCTGTTCTCGTGGCGTACTGAAGGTCAAGTCGAATAATAACCAGTTGTTCCCTGCATCTGTCAGCTCTCTCTTCTCTTCTCTTCTCATTATCATTCCTACTGCTGGTTAGGTCGTTGTTGTGCTTCGCCGTCCACTGACAGACAGGCTTCGGCCGAGTGATCGAGAGAGTCCGCCGACTAATACTATTTATTCCAACAAGCAACCCTTCGTCTATCAGCTAAACCCAAGGCTGATTAATTACCTCTCGAGCATCAATCCGCTCTATTGTTCTCGATCTGTACTCGTTAGCAGTATCGATCCTGCTTGACCGCCGAATCAAGTCATTGACGACTGGTGCCCTTGCGTTGCAGCCTGATCGATTTGAGCTTGGATCGATCTATCTTCCTTGGAACGGCAACGCTTGTCTCGGTAATTGAAATTGGAACAGCAGCATAGCAATTGCTCTGTTGATGAGTAGTGACTGGGTAAGTGATCTTTTACATTACTGAGAGTCGATATCATTCTCTCTTGATATCAATCATCATCAATCATTTATCGGTTCGTCCCATCATCCGCCTGGTGTTTCTTAAGCGATTCTTGGCTGGACCACGGCTGGCCCCGCTGCTCGAGTTCAAGGGGCCCACAGGCAATTTGCAGTGAGCGGATCTTCACTTTCCAAGTTTGATTCGACGCCACCTCCTGCGCCCCCCTGTGCCTCCTGGACCACGCACCACTACGCGCAGTGCTGCACAGCACTCCAATTCAACTTTAAACCCAATCGTCACCTCTTTTTATCAATTTCATAATTCTTCCTCATCAACATCTGTTGTACCGTGTATCAGCCCCAGCTCAACATCTTTGCCTCCATTGCTTGTGTTGCAGCTTGTTCTCGATCGCGGTGCACGTTGGTCTTGTTATCTTTTCTACTTCGCATATCCTCATTCGCCCTGAAAAGCAATTGGGTTCATCACAACAAACCTCCTATCGGCAGAATATGCTTTACGGCGAATTGTCTCGAATCGATTGTTAGGTTTCGCACATCCACTGACACTCGCTCCTGGTTCCCAGACTCTCGACCTTCTGTCCTCGTAATTACATTGGGCGCTCTACCCTCCTTCGACTATTCGCAATCTAGCCTCCCTTACGTTCGCGCCTTCAACAATCCAACGCACCTGTGCCAGGAGACATGCCCCGTCGGCTTAATCCTTTCTCATCCTCACCCTCCATGTCTCAACCCGTCAAGTCGGGCGAGAGGCGCCCCTCTACCTCAAAAGGCAACCGTATCACCAACTTCTTCTCCAGCAGCCCCAAGTCCACTGGCGCCCAGCAAGCCCTTGCCGCTGTGCAGCAGAACCAAGCTGCTGCTACTGGGTTCTCTCCTTCTCCTGGTCTGCCTACTATCTCTCTCTCAACCGCGAGCCCTGGCGATCCCAACAGCATCGATGCCTCAACGACCACTCTCTTCCAGCCTAAGTCGGCCGAGGAGATCGACCGTCAGAAGCGTGCCGACGCTCAGTTTGGCCCTCTCCTCCACTCAAGTCATCGATACACTAGCCAGTCTCATGGAGAGCCTCTTCAGGCCCCTGTCGAAGATGAGCCTCCTTACTATTTCATTCTCACCACTTACATCAGCTACCTGATCCTGATCGTTCTTGGTCATATTCGCGACTTCTTTGGCAAGCGTTTCGGCAACCCCAAGCACTACCGTGCCCTTAAAGCCAGCAACGGTTATGCAGCTCTCAACAGCGATTTCGACAATTTCTATGTCCGACGTCTCAAGATGCGCCTGGACGATTGTTTCGCTCGCCCCACCACTGGCGTCCCTGGACGCTTCATCACACTGATGGACCGCAAGTCCGACGACTTCAATCGCACCTATCAATATACCGGCACCTACACTGAGACTCTCAACATGAGTTCGTACAACTATCTTGGTTTTGCCCAGTCTGAAGGTCCTTGTGCCGACGCTGTGGAGGCGTGCGTCAAGCAATACGGAATCAGTTTCTGCAGCCCCCGTGGTGCTGCTGGTACTTCCGATCTTGCTCTTGAAGTCGAGCGTGAGGTTGCCGAATTTGTTGGCAAGCCCGCTTCTATGGTTTTCTCTATGGGTTATGTCACAAACTCGAGCTCTTTCCCCGCCCTTGTCTCCAAGGGTTGTCTGATCATTTCCGATGAACTCAATCACGCCTCCATCCGTGTCGGTGCTCGTCTTTCTGGTGCCGTTATTCAGAGCTTCAAGCACAATGATATGGCCGATCTGGAACGTGTTGTTCGGGAAGCTATTTCCCAAGGTCAACCCCGCACCCACCGTCCCTGGAAGAAGATTCTGGTCGTCGTCGAAGGTCTCTACTCTATGGAGGGTACCATGTGTGATCTCCCCGGTATTCTTGCTCTGAAGAACAAGTACAAGTTCTATCTCTTCGTTGACGAGGCTCACTCTGTCGGTGCTCTTGGCCCCCGCGGTCGTGGTGTTTGCGACTACTTTGGCATTGACCCCTCCGAAGTTGATATTCTTATGGGAACTCTGACAAAATCTTTTGGTGCCAATGGTGGTTACATCGCAGCCGAGAAACATATCATCGACAAGCTCAAGAGCTCCAACGCTGCTACTCAGTATGGTGAAACTCCTGCCCCTTGTGTGCTTATGCAAATTTTGGCTTCCCTGAAACTCATTACTGGCGAGCTGTGCCCTGGTCAAGGTGAGGAGCGTCTTCAGCGCATTGCCTTCAACTCTCGTTACCTTCGTCTCGGACTTAAGCGTCTTGGCCTTATTGTCTATGGTCACGATGACTCTCCTATCATTCCTGTCATGCTCTACCACCCGGCCAAGCTCCCTGCGTTCAGTCACGAGATGCTTCGACGAAAAATCTCCGTCGTCGTTGTTGGATATCCTGCGACCCCACTCATCAGCTCTCGTGCCCGTTTCTGTGTTTCTGCTGCCCACAACAAGGAGGATCTTGACCGTCTGTTGGCTGCCTGCGACGAAGTCGGTGACATCCTGCAGATCAAGTTCTCGACCGGTGTGGCAGGCGGACTGGAACATCTTCCCGAGGGTGTCGACCCCAAGAACGAAAAGGAATGGAGAAAGGAAAACAGGATCCCCCTTCAGGCCCCCCGTTGGAACCTGGAAGACGTTGTACAACACGGTGTCCAGGATTCAAAGATTCCCCTACGCTAATATCTCGGCCTTTTAATCAAACTTTGTTTCTGGTGTTTGATACATCTTTATAATCACTCATGTACTCGGAGGTTGTCTGAGTGGTGTTTGACGCTTTTCATAGATACATCCTGTGAAGGAACGCGACGTTGCACGACGTTTAATGCCCTGTTCTTCTCGGCGGCTAGCCCTGCGGCTGTTGCCCTTTTGCCCCCAAATTCCCATGCAAGAGAAGGGGGCCTTTTTTTTTTTCTTTTTTTGGGACGGAATAATGGAGTTGAAGGCGTGTTGAGGTAATGGGCCATGTTGGGAATGGGATCATGAGCAAGACTCATTCTACCAACCTAAGTCTCAAGTGTTGGATGAGTCTAGCATATAGAGTAATTGTTAGTCGACAAATATAGATCTGAAGCAGCATAGATTTGCTTCAACTAATAAAAGAAACGTATGCATGAAGATCTCAATTCGCATACCTCGGTGAACATTGATAAACAGTTGCATATACTCATGGGTACCTAGCCATGGCATGTTCTCTCAACTTTTATGAAAGCTTTATTCGTTATCAAATACCTTGCCTCGGAAGTTTGCTAATCTCCAAGGGTTCTGTAGCGTCATTGCAAGGCCAGTTCCCTAACGGTCAAACGGGAATGTTGGAGGTTTGGTCTCCAACGCACGATGTTTCCTTAGAATACCTCGGACTGTCACTCGAGATGTGGTTTGAGTGAGCCTCCTAGCCATCCCATCCGTAAGCATCCATATTGGATGGTTTCCCTGTTGTTGAAGGTCCAATGGTGTTTGAAGGAGAGACAAACTGAGGTTAATTGAGTGGACCAGGACCTCAATACATTTCAATGGGCGACTTGCCAGGGTTTAGATTATGTTTTGTGTCAACGCCCAAGACTTTCCTAAACGCGCACTGCAACTCAAGACAGAGGTCATCCAAGAATGGCATTGACTTTGGACTGTTTGTTTACTAAAAAGGTATAGAAACCACCCAATGGCTGGATTCAAGTCCGGCATGGGAGGGTCGAATAACGCAATGGTTGGGCTGGTTAACGGGCTGCAGCAGCGGCAGCCAGGCTTGATACTTATTTAGTGGTGAGGGGCCCTGGCCAGGGTACTTACCGGGGGATGCTGTCAGTGGAGCGGGACGGGAGTCAAGCCGTGTTCTCAGTGGAGGACCAGTATTCAAAATCCCTCCCAGGCCAACCGTGAGGTCCACCAAGCGAACGGCCAAGTCATGAGGTAGGTACGGAGTACATCCGTATAGGGCTCGGAAGGGCTTCCCACGGCCTGCTAGCTCAGGTACTGGGTACCTTTGAGACAGCTGCCATTTCAATAGGCCGTGGGTGACCGTAGTGGAGGACCTCCTCTTCCCTTTCCACCCCCAAGCGCTTCCACGAGCGAGCGAGAGCACAAGCAAGACCTGGACTGGGACTGGGACTGGGACTAGGACCAAGACCGAGCAAGACAAGACAAGACAAGACCTTAGACCAAGACACAAACACCCCGTCATCATCACCACCACCAGCCGCCTTCTTCTCCTCTGGCTACCTCCGACTCTTTTTATTTTCTAGGCTCTTTTCTATTAACATTTCTACGGTATTTGTCCTCCTCGAGGCGTCTCGGCTTGGGTCTACTTAATCTCTTGGGGTCGGCTCTTTTCCCACTTCGACATTGCCTTTCCTCAGCCCATTCTATCTTCTAGTCTATTCGTCCACTCGATTTGTTCTTGCATTCAATCCACTCCAATCCAATCCAATCGTCCTCCAGGCTGCGCCCACTTCCTCGACCCTCGCGTCTGCCACCTCCTACTCCTGAGCATTGCTTCTCTTTCTATGACGTTCCGATCACGATTTGAATGAAAGACTTAGAAGCATTCGACCGACTGTCCTTCGCCAACGCTTGTCTTCTCTCTTTCTATCTGACGGTGCCCGACCAAGCGCATCTGTCTGTTTGCGGCATCACCACCACCACCACGGTCGCCCGAATTAGTCTTCGGTCTCAGCCCCCGCCTCCGTTGTTGGCGACTGTCCTTTCATAGTCTTCAGGATGATGAGCTTCGATGGTGGCACAGCTTACGCCGAGTCCGACGCCGACGACGAATATGAGCGAAGCATGGGCGACCACTCTCCTATCACCAACTCTGAGCATTCCCCCATAGACTCCGAGCTGTCGACCTCCGCAGAGCATACTCCTACTACATACGGCCACCGCAGCAGCGCCGACCGTCTTCCAGAAACCATCATCACCGAATGGACCGTTGAGGAATGTGCTGATTTCATTGGCACCATTGGTCTTCAACAGTACGCCGATCGCTTTATAGGTGCGTCTTGACCCAAAGCATGCCATCTCATGTCCCTCACGGATGGTGCCGCAGACATTGGAGAGATTGTTGGGATAGCTAACATTTGATTACCTGCAGAAAACGAGATTGTTGGTGAGGCCCTGGTAGCGTTACAACATGACGATCTCAAGAGCATGGGCATTGCTAGCGTGGGACATCGTCTAACGATCCTCAAAAGCGTATATGATGTCAAAAAGGCTCAAGATGTCCCTATTGAGAGCGACCACTACCTACCCCTATGTACGTTGCCTCCGATTTCCCTCTTGGGTGGACTGGCCTGATTCTAACCTGTAACCCCTGTAGCCGCCGACGCCGAGGCGCAATATGCTACCGCAACTATCAAGGACATCAAACATCTCGTCGAACAATTCCGTCTCCGCGATGAACGCATGAACCTACTCGAACAGGATCTGCGACGAATGACAGAAGATTTCAGACGATTGCGAGAGGATATGCTCCCGGCCTTGCGCTTGGTCAAGGATGCGCAGCAACCATTGCCCAACCTGAGTGGTAACAGCCAGCAGGCCTACGGCTACGAAACAACCATATCGCCCCCCGCACCAACACCACCCCCAGGCTCGAGTCAATCTGGAAGCTCAGTCAAGCGACAATATTCTACCCGCAAGATTCTTATCGGAGCTACACCAAAGAATGCATCACCCACTCAATCTACCCACGAGAGGTCAATAGCGGAGACTGCGCTGGACCCCGCAAGTGCTGCAGAGCGAGCTGTCCTATCGTCTTCCCATCTTGCAGCTATGAACGGAGGTGGCCAGGGCTCGTCCTCCCCTTCGTATCCCTCACCCAACATACCCTCCCCGACATCTCCTCAGACCCACATGTCCGCTACGACCCTCGCCTCTCGATCCTACCGCAGTGAAGCACCGACACCCTCCACACGAACCACCTTCAACGACGAAGGTCACGCCAACGCAGTCTATGCCTCCCGCGAAAAGGCACCGCAAGGGCCGCCCCGCCGACGAGAAACCCCTGTACCTGATACACCCAGTCAGAGCAATGCTTCAGTCGAGATCTTCAAGTCTTTCCGTGTCAGTATGGAAGATCCTTGCTACAAGGTTCTTCCTGCTGCACTAAAAAAGTACCAGATCAACGCTCCATGGGACCAATATGCTCTCTATATTGTGTACGGCGATCAGGAACGTTGTCTGGGTCTCGAGGAGAAGCCATTGATTCTGTTTAAGCAACTGGACAAGGAAGGCAAGAAACCCATGTTTATGCTACGAAAGACAACAACAGCACCTTTAGATGGAGAGCCAGGAAGCGCAGGGCTGGGCAGCACCTCAAGAGGGGCCCCGACAGGCTACGATCCCCCCGGAGGAATCATCTAAACTCTACTGAGAATCGGTGCGTCGTGGTGGATTTTCCCAACGATCCAAACACAGAGCATCGGACGGTGCCTACCGAAACCCGAGTCCATTCGAGTGATGAGCACGAGACGCATACTGTACGTCAGACATGCAGGGTCGGCACAAACCACCACCTACAAGGCCGTACGATGCTGGACCAAGGTCTAGATGCGTTTCTTGGAAGTGGGACAAGGCAAGAGTCGGCAAAGTCAAACCTGAAGAGGTGTCTGCATGACGTTTGGTGATGTTTGTTTCAGTGGGTCAGCGTTTCTGAGCTGAGGTGGTGAACCTGAAACACCAGCCATGGGCTATTATGGGGCAGAACGCCAGGCACTGCTCTGGCCTTCCCGCGTTTGTCTTGGGCTGAATCACATTATTGACAGATTCGGACACTAAGAGGGGAGGCTTGTTTGAAGACCAGGGTTTAGAGAGTTGCAGGGCTGGGCTGGGCTGGGCAACTGAAGATTCCGACCGGAGGGAGAGGAGAGCTTAGAGCAACTCGGTTCCTCGGCTGGTTCCACTCAAAGCTACATATTTGCTTTTGTCAAAGGGGTGCTCGCTCATTGAGGCAGGACGTACGTTGCTGTGGAAGTGAACGGTCAAGCCACGGGCATCCATGCGCATGCAGCATTTGTTTTTCATCAAATTCATCATGGGGACATTGCGGGTTACGGCGTTTGAAAAGTCGACTAACGTTGGGTCTTATTCTGCAACAAGCAGCGGGAATGTTCATCTCGTCGTTCTATTTTTGGGGTTTGCATCTTAATTTCAGCGCAGCAGCAGCACAGCACAGCGCGATACAGAACAGAACAGAACATGGAGGAAAGGGTTGGTAATGATGGGCGAGAAGCACGGGTTGGATCGGGTCAGGTCAGGTCAATGTACAAACAGCGTTAGGGCTAAAGAAGCCAGAATCTTTGAGAGTCGGATCTCGTGGACCTGGCCTTGCATAAGAGCATATGCCGGCGGTTGATGAGAAGTTGGACATGATGTTAGAGTTTTGTGACAACAGACAGACTCTTGTGTGGAGTAGACCAAGAGTAATCTTTTTGAAGTTACAGTCGAAGTTGATATACAACGAGCATGTCTTTCTTTCATGGCACCTCTTCCAAGCGCAATTCTTATTCTAATACCAAACCCCGGGCTTAGTTGGTGGGCTCTGGCTCCCTCCACACATACCATCGCCATTCCTCTATAAACTCTTCCCTCTTGCTCGCTTCAACCTCTTAAACAAAGGCAACCACCACTTCCAATGGCACTCCCCTCGTCATGCATGTCTCGTCATCCCAGCTCGAATGCACGCCTACCAATGCCCCCGTTTCCCGATCAAACAATCCTGCGCCGCTATGTCCCCAGTACGTCCAGCAGCTATGCTTAAGAGCGCCGATCTCACTGTTACCCTGCGGATCTTGATCCTTATCTAGGCCACGGAAAGTCCCTTCGGTGAGAACGAGTGTGTCATACTCTGTCTTTACACCACTGCGTTCAGCCTCGAGGTCCTCGGAACCCGGATGACCGATGCATAGCAGTTTAGTGTTGAACTTGGGAGGCGAGGTTGCGATACGGGCAAAGGGAAACGGCTGGCGAAAAAGCTCGGTTTTGTCGATCTGAAGTAAAGCGAGATCGCGTATTGGATTCCAAGCTACCACTTTCGCAGTAACAACATTCCCAGTTGATGATAAGAGGACGAACGATGTATTAGCTGTGAGCTCAGAGGGCTCTTCTGCAACGCAGTGTGCACAGGTGAGGAGGATGCCATCGGGCGAGATGCAGACTGCAGTCCCAGCCTCTGACTGAGCAAAGACAAATATTGCGTCTAGTGTATGATATCCCTTTGGGCTTGAGATGAAAGTTCGGAAGGCATCTGGGGGAATAGGGATGGTGTGAGAGTTCAGCCATTTGCGTTTAGAGATGAGGGCATAGTAGTGTTCTTCTGAGGGGCCAAGGCTAGATAAAGATGATATAGTTTCTATATTTGGTTTGTGAGACGAAGTGTCTGTTGTCTGATCCTTTCTTGAGGATGCCGTGGTTGAAGAGAGCGCACGAGTTGAACTTCTTGTATGACGTGGCATAGGTGGTGATGAGCCAGTCAAATCAATAGTGTCAGGCATGTTTTCTCTCAAGGCTTTGATTTCCTGTAGAATATTCACTATTTGGGTAAAGACATTGCGGAAGAAGTTGGACTTTCTATGATGAGAAAATGTACGACTCAACCTTGCCTTAGCCATGTAAGTCAAGTGAGTGACTGACTTAGAACGTGCTGCTGCCTAATCATGAGAAGCATCAAGGAGTCAGCACAATTAAGCAATGAATTCCATTTACAGAAAGAGTTCTACACACTCAAATCGACCATCGCTATCGTCACAGGAGCTATACTATTCTAGTGTGGTTGTGGCATCCTTCAAGAGGCGAGCGCGTGTATCCATTGATACCATGGAGCTTCTGGCTCAAGGTGCTTTGCCTTCCACTCGTCCACGACTGTCGTATAATCCTCTGGCCCATATGGATCCGTCATCTCAGCAAATGCACCATTCTTTCTATATATCGGTAAACCTAGGTCCTTGAGCAGCAGGTCCAGATACGGAACAGCATCAAACACAAAGTCTGGAAAGCTGTGCCCAAAACCACCTGGGTATCTCCATTTTCCGAATCGACTATGAAGCACTGCCTCGTGTTGGAATCGAGATACAAATTCTGGTGAAGGGTTTCGAGGGAGAGATGGAATCATATCGTCGAAGAAGGCGTTCATCCAGAGCGACTGGACATGGCAAACTATGGGGTTGCTGAAGTTGACTAGCATTCCCACGAAGGCAATGTCTCGGGTCTTGAGGAACTGACTTGACGGCGGGACGATGAAGTGATATAGCGTATACGGGGTCAGCTCTGTCGATGGCGTGACATCGTCATTGCTAGAGAGACCTTTGTCCTCTAGCAGTGTATGATACTTGCTATTTTGCACCTTCTGTATGGGCTGGTCTTTGAGACGAGGGAACTTGTCGAAGATCTCCTTATCAACTTGATCCAGGAGCGATGCATAAGGGAACAAATTTGGTGACGGCGTATGAGGCATCCCAATATCCTCAGTAATCCCTTCTGGGAGGAATTTGATAGGAGGAACATGTTTCCAACCCGTTGCACAGCACAGCACATCTGTATGTAATGCCGTGCCGTCGGACAAGTGCACCTTTTGCTCACTCAACCGTTCGATATCAGCAATATGTATCTTGACCAACCCTTCCTTGACGACCTCGAAAAAGTCCTTCTCGTAGTTGAGAATCCCTATACTCGTCGCCACAAACATGGCATTGGACCAGGGCTTAAGCTTGGCCGTCTCCGGGTGAGAGTCGTATTTGTTGAGCGTGATAACGTCGTTGCCAAGGATACTCCAGAACTTATCGACAATGGCTCTTCCAATGAATGTTCCGTGGTAGAAGTTGCGAGTCTTCACGTAACCATCTGCTGCACCCCAACTGCACGGACTGAACCACGTTAACATTCTTATATGGGCGAGTTTCTCGAGCCACTTCTTGAGAGGTGTGACATAAGGAGGAGCATTCCAAGCAGGGCCATGGCCAGATTCTGGAAGAGTCAGTAGAGTCACCTCACCATGCCCTTTCGGTATTACTAACCTCGAATAACCCAGTTCACTTGAATACCTTTGGTGGCATATAAATATACCATATCCCAGGCTGACTTTGTACCGCCGAATACTGTCACTGATTTGGCCGTTCCGTAGGTATCCTCATTGTTGCGTAGGTATTTTCCATGAAAAATGGGAGCCCTGAAGTCTTCCTGGCCTTGGAAGATTGGTAGAAAGGGTTCTGAAGTTAGGCCTGTCGCGAGAACCAGTCTTCTGGCCTTGATTTTGATATCGTCACCGACTTTGATGTCCCTTACCGTTAGAACCCAACCGCCGTTTTCATGGTGCTCTGCTGTCTCGACTTTGTGCTCAAACCGGATCTTGTCATATATATCAAAGTGTCGAGCATAGGTCTCCAGGTATCTGTGTACTATCTGGCCAGGAATGTGCTGACCTGGCTTGACACCAAAGGTTTCCGTGTCCATGGGGAAATCAGGATACTGGTAAGTACCCAACATGTTGTTGGTTTTCAGGCCCGTATAGAGGCGATGTTTCGCCCAAGTGCCACCAAGCGTAGCAGCTGAGTCGAAGACCGCCAGAGATTCTTCAGGGTGTAACTGATGGCGAGTCTTGGCCGCAGCCAGCCCAGCCCAACCTGGTGATATATGTAAGCTTGCTATCTTTTTTTCAAATCTTTTAAAATCTCAGTCGACATGAATGCCATTTTCTTACCCGCTCCAACAATTGCCACATCAAGAGTCTCCATTATCAACGTCCTCTGGCCGGTTCACGACTATTGTATGACAGCGATGGAGACGACTCAAGAAAATGCGTTTGTCTTTGGGGGCCGAGCCTCTTTTTCATATGTTCAGCTCGTTCTCAAGTCCGAGACATGGCCAGATATGTGAGTCAGCTTACGCTGCTGTGCCATTTGTTGCATTGCATGGTTGTTCGTATTACATACACAGCCATATATGCAAGATGCTGCAGGTTCGTGGCGTCCAGGTTACTAGAGGTAAGCATTTATCGAGTGTCATAATTTCATGGACTCTGAGTCTCCGAGCGCTGCCAGTAATCGGATAAATGGTCCATACACCTGTTGCCTGTATTCTTGGTGTATGTTGGCATTGGATCAAACGTTTATAACTATGACCATTCTTTTATCTCAGTGCGTATAGTATTCAACAACACAAATGAGCAAAAGCTGTAATTCCAAGGTACTAAAATATTACAGTCTACCATAAGTGCATCTGAGAAAAATATAATAAATGATGCATATTCTCTCGACAAGATTCCCCGTCATGTAAGTCAAGCCTTATTGCTTAATCATGGGATAAAATAGGTTGGTATAGGGTAGTGCCTCCATTAGCCCATGCTGCTGATGAGTTATGTACCTCATACCAAATCTGCTGTCCGTCAGTTATCAAGACTACACCTGCTAACTCAACCTCAGCTCCTTATTGATCCAATCAACTGTATTAGGTAAATAGAATCACAACTGGTGTTGTATTGCACATATGGCTGCGTCAAAGCACATACATATTCACCCAGTTGAGGTGTTGGTGCAGGGTTCATGGTTCTTGAGTCATGGCTGCCATATCTCCAGCTCAACAGAAAGAATTGGCGACTGTGAGAGCAAAACAACACATCCCACTTGACCACGTCATATCACAGATATTCTATTGATACATACAGCTATAGTTGCTGTTTCATTGAAAGCAACACTACAATCCATACATAGGAAACTACAAAGCATAGGTACGTTGCATAGAGAACGGAGCCTATTTCTGACAATCAAAATCACCACCCATGGCTACACGAGAGTCTGAATAGGAAATAAGCGGAGGTATGACATGAGTCGTGCACCGGGGAGGATACGGAGGTCAACGCTCAAAGCTCTCCAACTCGTCAAATGTGGCTTCGGTAAGAGATGTCCTGCCGATGAGTACTCCTACTCAGTAGCTGTTCATAGTAAGGGATGCCAAGCCGGCTGGCTCCAGAAAACTACTCGACTCATGGCCGAGTATAGGATGATAGAGTAGGAGTCAAGACAAACCACCTTAGGTAAGACCTACGAAAGTGGCTGGTTGTAATGACGCGAATGGGATGGCTAAATGGATGAAGGGAGCAGGTATATAAGACTTCACTTATTATTGGTGTTGCCTGTCTTTGCGAATCTTGGCCTGACATCTGGCAGCACCTCATAACAAGACCCCCTGCTTTGGGCCGTACGTGGATATGGAGCCGAAATTGCTAATGATGATGTTAACCACAGCAGACATGGGGCCTGGATGTTAACCGGAAGAATACTGCTGCAAATCGATGGACCAGACCCATTCGATACAGAGATCCCAAAGTTAAATAACGAATAAACCCCTGAGCAAAGTTGATCAAGGGGCACCTTATCCTTGGCCGGACTAGGAATGGGTCAGGGATGGGGGGTTGACCTCACTTTATAGATGCAGGCTTGCAGGGGCTTGTCAAGCGCGGTAACGGACGCAAGTGGATATCTCTGGGTCGCAGTAAATTGCGCTGGAGCCTCTCGAAGCCGTTGATATTTTGCACTGATCGCTGCAACATTCTGGAGTCGTCACTGATCGAGCAGGCGCAGGCCAAGCAGCAAAAACTATGTCTGTAGACAAGAGCCATGTGAATCCTCAAGCCACAGGCTACATGAGGTGATGTGCCAATATGCTTGACGAATAGTGACAGAACAAGGCACGAGCACACCGTGCTTCGCCAGAGGCATTTCCGGTAATAAGAAACAGGATGTCACTGTGATGGTGAGCAACTGCCGTTCGAGAATAAACCCAGAATCTGGTAGCACTGGAGTCTGGACGCCTTGCCGTATATGCGTATGCCATATAGGATTGTATGTGAAACTTTGGCATCCGCATTTGCTCCGACATATTTTGTAATGGGCTTACGCTATGCATAAAGTACCAATCGAAAATGGGTGTGTTTTGCTGCAGGTACGGTACCGCCCATGCATACTTGGCTGAGATATGTACAAGAAAGAGCGTAAACTCCGTGTTAGGACTTGAATGTTGGACAGATGCCGGCTGCCTGCATCTACCTCCAGTTTGAGCCACAGAATGGCAGTCGACGGATATAGGAGCGGGTGGGCGTTGGTGTCACAGGATAAGAGGAGTAGTTCTATCACCGGTTCGATCCTGAGTAGCGCCAGACATAAATACTGTCTTTGAACGGCGACATTCTTTTATCTGAGCGTCTTCAGTAGAAGGTTGATCGACAACCAGGACGCGACCAAAAGTGACACCAACAGTTTTGATACAAACAGGGTCCGAATTTCAGTTCACTGCTCGACAGGCCTGCTCTGTGTTCTGCAAGAAGCCAGGGTTCATCGGAGCTCCACAAGAGGCTCGGGCCCACATGGTGCTCCGGATCCATCGGTTCCCCGGTTTGCTTGCAGCATTGTTTGATCCATGCAGGCCTGATATTGAATTAACAGATCCCTCCTCTGACGAAAACGACACAAATTGCTCCAAGTTGGATGAAATATAGCGATGA